TGTTCTTGCCAATAACTGCTAAAGAAGGGAATCTCGATGCAGATAAACCTGTTCCTCCTTGCGATGTCTGCGGATACCGAACGTCTCCTCGAAGTAGGGACGCCGGTAGGACCAAGGACCAAGGACGAACGAAGCACCAGGGGATCTCGATGCAGATAAACCTGTTCCTCCTTGCGATGTCTGCGGATACCGAACGTCTCCTCGAAGTAGGGACGCCGGTAGGACCAAGGACCAAGGACGAACGAAGCACTAGGGGATCTCGATGCAGATAAACCTGTTCCTCCTTGCGATGTCTGCGGATACCGAATGTCTCCTCGAAGTAGGGACGCCGGTAGGACCAAGGACCAAGGACGAACGAAGCACCAGGGGATCTCGATGCAGATAAACCTGTTCCTCCTTGCGATGTCGGCGGATACCGAACGTCTCCTCGAAGTAGGGACGCCGGTAGGACCAAGGACCAAGGACGAACGAAGCACCAGGGAATCTCGATGCAGATAAACCTGTTCCTCCTTGCGATGTCGGCGGATACCGAACGTCTCCTCGAAGTAGGGACGCCGGTAGGACCAAGGACCAAGGACGAACGAAGCACCAGGGAATCTCGATGCAGATAAACCTGTTCCTCATTGAGATGTCGGCGGATACCGAACGTCTCCTCGAAGAAGGAACGCCGGTAGGACCAAGGACCAATGACGAACGAAGAGTATAGATTGCCTCCCTAAAAAAAAAGATGGGGAGAAGAGGAGAGTAGCTCCTATACGGAAGGGAATCTTGCCCGGGCGTGCCAGATCTTCCCCCACCGCCGAAGACGAACACCTCTCGATGTAGAGGTTAGTAGAGACGTGGAGGGGGCTAGACGAACCAAGGGAGCCTGCCAAGATAAACCTGTTTATCCCACAAATGACCATGGATCGATGGACGTGGGATAACAAAGTCGGGAACCCGTGAGGGTAAACCTGTTCGTCCCTGCGAGTTCCTTGGGTACCGAACGTCTTCTTCGAAGCAAGAGACGCCGGTAAGACTAAAAGGACCACGGACGAACGAAAAAAGGGGGAATCTCGATGTAGATAAACCTGTTCCTCCTTGCGATGTCTGCGGATACCGAACGTCTCCTTGAAGTAGGGACGCCGGTAGGACCAAGGACCAAGGACGAACGAAGATTAAAAGACTCCAAAAAAAAAAAAGATGCCAGAAGAGCACGGAGCAAAGAATGATTTTTATTCCTCGGCACTATTGGCCGGAAAATTACAATGTGCGAGGGTACAATGCAAATAATGGAAAAACTGTATAAGTACAAGATAATGAACGAAGAATCACGGCCGATCGACATCCGGGGTTGGAACCTTGGAAAGGGCCTGCTTGGCTTTCTCCCTAGCTTCGGCTTCCTCCTGCTCCTTCAGCAGCTCAAGGGCCCCCGCATGGGCATCTGCCATCAAGACGTCGAAGCCAGCCGCCTCCGGATCGAAGGGAGTCCCGAAGTGACGCTCGAACGTCGGGAGATTCTCCGCTACTAGCCCAACCATACCCTTGCGGTAGGTGTCATCGGCGAGATCGTCAAGAAAACGACGTCCGGTGGGGGTGGCCTGGAGCAATTTAACCCCATCCAGATATGCATCCGGGCAGGTGGCCAGGAACTCGCCGACGAGCCGCGGGAGGAACTTCATGGCCATGGTGTGAATGGCGCCAGTATAAGCCTTGGACCTCTGGAACGCTATGGATCCGGACTCCTTGATTTTGGCAACATCGGCCTCATGAATAGGGACATGATTGTCCACGCCCGTCTGGCGAAGCTCCACCTTGGCCTGCTCTACGGCCCACATCCGGCTGCGGAGATCCACGAGCTCGGCCTCCTGCTTCTTGAGGAGCTCCTTCTGAGAGGCATTCTCCTGAACGAGCTTATCATAGGCATCGGCTTTCTCTTGAAGAGTGCCAGCCCTGCCTTTTGCATTCCTCAGAAGGGCATCACATTCAGCCCGCACTCTGGCCATCTCCCTGCCCTGGCGCTCGAAGGCCATCCGAGCCCTGTGAAAGTAGAGCCCGGCCTTATCCAAGGTGCTCTGGCCGCACTCCAAGAGATCTTCAGGGGCCTCCTGAGCAGCGAAATCCTGCGGGACCTTGAGGTTCAGCCCACACCAGATGGAAAACGCTGTCTGGCCAAAGAGCATCATAGACTCCTTACGGGGGCCAACCCCAGAAAACTCGATCAAGCCAAGAGAAGACTCACTGGCTCCTGGGGGAGAGTTCGGACGGGCGTCGCCAGAACCTTTGGCGGTGGGGGTATCATCATCCCGGAGATGGCGGACGTCGGAATTCCTCGGAGGAGAGGCACGGAGATTGGTCCGAGAAGTGCGCTTCCGCTTGAAGGGACTTCCGGGCTCCCCATCAGAGTCGTCGGCCACTATAATGGCCTTGGAGGCAGTACCCTCGACGCGCAGCCTCTTGGAGGCACCAGCTCCCGAATCATCCTCAGCCCGTGCCCTGGTCACCCGAGTTTCGACCTTAGGGACGAGCGGCTTCCCGGGCTTGTCATGCCCCTTGTGCTCACGGCCGGCGGCAGTCGAAGCAGCGTTGACTCGGCTCATGGTGGACGTGGATGGAAAAACTCCTGCACAAAGGGAATCAAGACGTTCAGAACCATAACAGCGAAGAGATGTTAAAACAATACAAGTACAAACGGACGCACCTAATCCAGCCTGAGCTTTAAAGGGCTCGGCCACCAGCAACCGGAGGTTCTGGATGCCAAGTTCGGCTATGCGCTTGGCATATCCAAGCTCCTCGTCCGTCATGGGCGGCGGGATCGTCTTCACGGGGTAAGCATTCCACCGGTCAGAGAATGGCATCGGTGAGCCTACTCCGGCCAGGAAGAAGCGTTCTTCCCAACCGTCTGGATTCCCAGCATTGTTCGAGAATAGGACCATGGACGGACGGGCGATAAGGGTCAAATACCCTGTGCGTCCGAAGGGGGACAGACGGAAAAAATGGTGCAGCAGGTCCACGGTGGGGATCACACCGACGCTGTGGCATCTGATTATGAAGCCAGCGATTATCCGATAGGCGGCAGGGACGAACTGCGCAGGCACTATCTCAAGGGCCCTGAAAAGCTCCAAGTGGAAGCTATGCAGGGGAAAGTTCAGCCCGACTATCACCGAATCCAAGTGGACCACCACATAGCCGGGCAGATGGCGCATGGGGTTCCGCAGACGCCGATCGTCGTAGACCCTTGGAGGATAGAACCATTGACTGATCAGACGCTTATCGGCGTTCGTCAGGCGTTGAGTTTGACGACGAACGCACGAGAAACTGAGACTGTAACGGGGGGGCCGAGGCGGCATCCCCCGCTCATAATATTCCAAGTCCTCACCAGAGGAACAGCCATCGTCGAAGCGATTTTCAGAAGACATGACAACGAACGGTACCTTTGGAGTTCGAGATTTCCGATACGGCTTGAGAGAGGTCTAGAGAGAGAAGACAATTGTGCAGCGTAAGGAGAAATGTGAGTAGATCACATGGACTCTGGGTACTTATAGGCAACGCCGCGGAATCGCGCCAACCGAAGCAGGACACGTGGCACCTGGATACCGGTACCTACCACGGCATTTAAGGCATCTCGATTTTGTTGCCACATAACCACCACAAAGACATCCGGATCCATGCAACGAACGTCCCTTGAGGAGGGCTTACCGGCTCGGAGGGGTTTGGAGGCATTCGTCTTTCCATATTTCCGTAATTCCCCGGCTGTCCCTAACATCGGCGGCTGATGAGGACACACGCATCGGCCGGCTACGTTCGTCTTGCAGTACCCCGGTTTTTCATGTCATGCAACTGTCGACGAACGTCGTCACCGAGCGCTGGTTCAGGGAAATACGTCCATATGTCCATACTTGAGAAGTGTACTGTCAAGGCAGCTACCGACGAACGTCTTCCATTGTCAGAATACCGTGTGGGCGGCAAGCCGGCTTCGGCAGGAGGACGCCGTGCGACAGATGTGTGTCGAGGCGCCGGAAGGATTTCTCATACTACAAACGATGGAGGACACAAAAGTGATGAAATAAAAATCATGTCCTTAGCTTACCAGCGGGGGACGCACGCATCAAATGGCTACGTTCGCCTTTCCACACTCCATGCCATTTGAACATGTAGAACAGACGGACATCCTCGCTCGAAGCTTGAGCATTCATGCCACGCAACAGTAGACGAACGTCGTCAGCAAGCATTGAGGCAATCTCCGACGTGCGTATGACCACACTTGCAAAGTGTGCTGTTAGGCCAACCCCCGACGAACGTCGTCTTGCCATCAGAATGCTGTTGCAGGAGGGGCAGCCAGCATCGGCGCCGAGTGTCGCCATCCGAAGACGGACCTTAACACTGGCGCCGCGCACTTAAAGGTGTACGGGGTTTTGGCAAGGAGACGCCCCTGCCCCCAAACCAATTGGGGAACAGAGATGAACGTCCACGCAGACTATGCAACAGAGTATGTCGAGACACGAGGGGAGTTTCCATACAACAAAAGATAAAGGGAATGAAAATAACAAGTAGAAATCATGAGCATAGAACAATTATGGGCAAAAAGACGTCTGTATTCTTCGGCTCTGACGGCCGGACATTACAAAAGCTAGAATGGGAAAATACAAATTACATTATACAAAGAAAGGGGATTCCGGTCGGCTGTCGCCCTGGTTCGGCTCCTCCTCCTCTTCCTCGGGCTCGGGGGACGGGGGTTCCGGAATCTCCTCTCTAGCCTTGGCATCCTCCCGCCGTTGGTCTCTCCCCAACTTCCCCAAGGCTTGAAGCAGCAGATCGTCGTCTGTATTTGCAGCAAGCTCGAAGTCGGCCCCCTGCAGCCTCGAGAAAATAGGAAGGGTGGCCTTGACCCCCTCATTGTAGCCAGCGGCGAAGGAGATGTCGCCGACCTCGTAGAGGAACTTATGCGATAGGGGGGAGCTCTCCAGGATCCGCACGCCGCTCGCCAGGCGCTGCCGGGGCGGGATCTTCGCCAACGCCGCAGAGAATACATCACCGAAGGCCCCGACGCAATAATCTTTGGCGGAATCCATGAATTCCCCGGTGTTCCTGTAGCCGGAGGTGTCGACCAACCACTCCGGAGTGGCATCCTTGGCGGCAGGAAGCACCGGAACAAGCTTGAAACCGGCTCTCTCAAGACCGGCCAACTGGCTGCGGGATTCAGCCTGCAGGGCTGCAATCTCCCTCCCCTTGGCTGCAGCCTCCGCCTCAGCTCGACGAGCGGCCTCCCGGGCTGTGGCGACAGCCGCATCAGCCTTGGCCTTGGCCTCCTTCAGATCGGCCTCCCTGGCAGCTTCAGCCTGGAGGACTAGAAGCCCAGACTGGATGACAGAAGAGAAAGTAATGGTCAGGGGATGAACGTCAAGGAAAAAATGTACTCGGATCTAGCAAGGAGGAATTACCTGAAGAGCGGTTGCCAGGGCAGCATTGGTCGCCTCAGAAGACGAACGGCGGGGCAGCTCGAGACCGGCCTTGAGGGCCATCTCCCTGCAAAGCTCTTCCGCCGGGCGGCTCAATGGCAGAGAGCCGGCATCTTCAAGCAGGGGACCAGTGGAGCCTGCCTCACGGCCCCTCTTCTGCTTCTTCTCGGGGACCCTCTCCGTCCCCTTCTGAGGAGCCGCCTTCGAAGGGACGACCAGCGGTGGAAGGGCAGCTTCAAGAGCAGGGGCCCCAGAACCCTGAGCCAGCATGGTGGCGATTAAATGCTGCTCACCCTCAGCAGTTCGCCGGGGCAGCATCAGAAGCCGAGGAGTTGGACTCCGAGGCGGGGGCGTTTTTGGCTTTCGCCAGTGCGGCTTTAGCAGCGGCCGCCTTGGCCTTCCTTGTCTTCAGGCACTCGGCGTGATTCATCTGGTCTCTGTCTGGCGGAGAACCTGCAAGAAACAACAAAGGATTAAAAGACGAGCGAGGAATACAATAAGACACTCACCTCGAAGGACAGGACCGCCCGGTGCCCCGAGACGAGCGTCGAAGGGTGGAAAGAGTCCAAGGACACGGGCGGGTACCTATGCCTGCCCCGGAGAGTGCCTCGAAGGTCAGATATCCGGCTATGGGACGGACGCCGCCCTCCAACACCTTCTCCACGTCCAAAAGCAGATCGTCGGTCGGCTCCGGTGACTCAATCTTTGGGGGATAGCCATTCCACCGAATGGGGAGAGGAGGCCCGCCGTATCGAAGGAAGAAGAAGCGGTTCTTCCAGTCGTGGATGGACGAAGGGTAGCTCTTGAACAACCGTCTCCCAGGACGTGCGGCCACGCTCAGATACCCGTCGGCATTCTGGGGAGTGACGCGGTAGAAATAGTGGAAAAGCTCCAGAGTGGCATCGACTCCCGCAAGTTTGCAGCGCACCAAGAAGGCCGATATGAACCTATAAGAATTTGGCATGAATTGCGCCGGGGCCACCTGGAAGCAGTGGAAGAATTCCACATAGAACGGATGGAGCGGGAACCGCAGCCCGGCTTCAACGGAATCCAAGTGGAGCACGATCATCCCCGGACGTCTCCTCATCACATGCTCAGTGCCTCTCACGCTCCAGACGAACGGCGGGGGGAAGAAAGTACGGATTTTGTTGAGGGCCACGCGGGAGAGGACTTGGTCGTGGTCAAGGGCGCTCCTGATCGGGCAGATGTGGCGCTCCATATCCGTAGGGATGCCCAGATCATACACCTCCATATCGGAACCGGATTCGGCCTCTTCTCCAGGGGGACTGCGTCAATAACATCTACTGCCCCGTCAGCATCCCCATCCCCGGCGTCGCTCCCACTACTTTGAGAAGCATCATCCGGCTCACCATCAGCCCGGATGGTCCCTACCGTCGTGGCCGAACCAGAGGTCCCGGAAATACTGGCCTTTCTGGGGGAGCGCGCACTCACATTGTCCGAAGAGGAGCCCGAGGAGGAACCCGACGAACCGGAGCCCGAGCTTGACGAGATCTCCATTGAAGTCATTTCGGCTAGGAATCAGAACAAAGAAAAGAAGCAGAGGGGGGAAATTACCTTACAAGGGGGTTAGCCGAATTCGGAAGCGGGGAAGAAGACTTGAAGAGCTGCGGAAAGTCGAAAGCAAGAGAGCAGAAATTGGGAACCCTAATTCAGAGGGAAAACCCGGCATTTATAGGAGAAACACCGATAGGGAAACCAACGAGGGGTTGACACGTGGCAAGGAGCGTATTCCGACCCACGCGCTGTGCGTGGGGCGAAAGCATAATGATGGTGTTTCCTCGGGAAATGCTCCGCCGCAACATCAGCCGTCACCTCGTTTCCTGAACCGTCGACAGCTGTCAAGCACCATGACCACGAGCGTACGCTTCCAACGGGTGCAGAAAACACAAGTATCAAGACACGAACGTCTACCTTGAGGGGATTCCTACTTCCTTATCTCCTGCGCGAGCCCAGAACATCAGAAGTGGGGGACTTGTGTTGGGTTAAGGGCCCAAGCCGAGGTCCGGCCCACTAACCCATATTGCCAGACGCACGTCCAGTTAGAACACCAGGCCAGCCCACAGGCCCATGTCCCTTGAGGATGGACGAACGTCTGGTGTTGGGGGCTCAGGCCCAGCGGCTCATCCCGACAAACGTCTGTGCAGGGACAAGGAGCAGGGCCACGGGCCACCAGGGATGGCGACGAACGTCTCCGGGGCAAGCCTGCAGTCATCGGAGGAAACCCAGCCCACATGGTGAATATCTATAAGGCCAGGAGACGAACAGCCGGTATCTCCTGAGGGTCACTTGGGGCGATCCAACTCACTTCCCGGGCGGACGAACGTCCCCGCTGATTGGGCGGGAAACCTAGATTCTGGCGGGAAGTGCATTTAATGCTGAAGATTTGGTGGTTGGGACACAAGCGGTCCACAGGCTTCCACGTCAGCATAGCTACCTGCCCATTGGCGGGTATAAATAGAAGCATTTATTTCATTGTAAAGGGTTGGCAACTTTCTATTCTTAGCATACTAGCTTCAGCCTTCTTACTCGCAGCATTTCTAACTGCCTTGTAAGACGAACGGCCGACGTGCCTTTTTTAGCAAGTAGATTGTACTTAGGGGAGTTATTACGAAGTTAATAATACATATTTACATTGCCTGCTATTCCTTTTATTTCCTGATCCATCTGATAGTTGTTGGGCTAGACATTCTTACACTCACTCCACTCGAAATCTTTGGGCTTACGTGTTGGGTCCAAGGGTTGAAGGAATAAACCTCAACACTTATAATTATAAGAATTATAATTGTAATTATAATTATAATTACATATAATTATAATATAATATTATATTAACATTAATCATATTATTATTATATTGTAATAATGATAATGATAATGATAATGATAATGATAATGATAATGATAATGATAATGATAATGATAATGATAATGATAATGATAATGATAATGATAATGATAATGATAATGATCGGTGTAATTTTTTAGTGAGTGAAACGTAGTTGGTTTATCCGTAGAATAACCTGACCACGAGTATCGTCTCTCAAGGAGTGGCAAAAAGGAAGTTTTAAATACAGTCCGTGATCACAGGCTAGCACAAGTCATAGTAATCTTTCCAAAATAATTTTTTTTTTGAGTGGTTTGAAAATAAAACTAATTAATAACGAGTGCAAAAAAATAAATAGAGTAAAAAAAAAAAATTAAACTGATTCTAGATATTAAAACAGGGTTCGAATTGGATGGTTCGGGTTCTGGGTGTTCTTTCGGGATTAGAATTAAGTTAATTAATTTTCAATTATTCCTGGAAAGAAAATGAAATAAATTCTCATAGACAAGAATTAAATCAAATTATCACAATCTTAACTTATTTCTAAGATCAGATTGCTTGTATAAGATTCGAGCTAATTTAACTCAATTTCTCATAGACAAGAACTGAATTAAATCCAGACATTCATATATGAGGTGATCAAATTCATATAGACAATTATGATTAATCTTATACAAATTTTCCAGAAGATTAATTGAATTTTAAAGAACTAAATTCACACCCTCAAGAACCCATGAACCCTAGCCCCAATTCAAACCCTAAATGGAATTAGCTACTCATAACTAAATTTAACATCACAAAAATATTACTGAGCATAATAAACATGATAAGAAGCTAGAAATAAAGAGTGAATTATGAGTATTTGATGGGAAATTCTGAAATTGCTAATTGGAAACAAAGAAATTCGAAATTCAGTCAAAATTGAAGAACTAATGCTGTAAATAACTAAACTTACAATACTTGAAATGAAAGCAAAGCAAAGTTCCTTGGTTATGGATTACTGCTGCGGCTAATTGCTACTAAATGAATCAGAAAATAAAAAGTGCGGCTGCTTGGTCTTCTGGTTACTACTGCCGGCTGCGGCTAATTGACGGATAGCAGGACTTGTCTACGAACAGAAAGAACGATGAAAAAAACTGCTGGTGCGGCTGACTGACTACGAACTGAGAATGGAAAAGCTATGCTACTGCGGCTAAGTGACGAACATGAAGAATGAATGGAATGGAAGTTGCTCCTGCGGCTGAGGTTTTCAGGGAGAAAACCCAGCTCATCTCTTTTCCTTTTTGGGCTGCTAGTCGGTGCTGCAGTTTTTTTTTTCCTTTTTGGGCTTCACTTAATAACTTCTAAAGTAACCCGCAAATGATCTGGTCCAAACATATTCACCGCAAACTCGGCCTGTAAAATCACAACTCACTGCACCCGCTAATAATATGCAATTTTACAATCAAATTACTCCAAAATATGTCAAATTGTGTAGAAAAATACTACACTGAATATGAATGCCACCGGGACCGAAAAATAACAAATTTTCATTCAAAACCCCCAATAGTCACCCGATTAAAATAAAAATTAGACAATTAACACCCAAAATATGAGTGAAAAGATAGGAACGGAACGAGCCTATCAAATCTCCCCACACTTGAGCGTTGCTTGCCCCCAAGCAACAGTGCATTAAACCCAAGAAAAACAAAGTAATCACATGTAACACCTAGTTCAAAAATCATCCACACCCAAAACAAATGACTGCACAAGGTCTTTTCTTTCTTAACAATGAAGCCAAGATTCACATGTTAAACAATATTTTCTAAAGTAAAATCCCTCTCCAACTGACTAAAATGTAAAGAAAAGCATGATGGTCCCAACGGTGCAGGTGTGTGAAATCCAAACCACCAATCTTTCCAAAAAAAACCCAAGAATTGTGTGATAAAACTCGGAATACTCGTGATTTTTTTTTTTGAATATGTAAAGTTGACCAGGTTCTGGATTGCAGGACTGATTCAAGCTCTAGGGCCTGGGAGTTTATCTCATTACTGTGTACTCAACTCTCACACGGGGTGATTCGCGAGATGAGCAGAGCCCCATTTCAGGGATGAAATTCTCGACACATGAAGTGTAACCCCATTACAAGAATCAGTTACCCGCTTGACATGAAGTTATCCCGATATGCTTAGCAAGCAGAGCTCCTTATGGAGTAAGGATTTTCAACACCTGGCCAGTCAAGGAATTATTAATGCGAACTAGTGAATCACGAGTAAAACCGAATTTAATCAACACAAATCAAACCATCCAACATGCCAACATTCCCAAGAATATACACACCACCCCAATGATTACACCATTACTAATTCTTTCCAAGAAAGATGGAGGAGATGGAAGTTTACAAAAGAAAATAAAGATTAACAAGTTACCTCTGTTGCGTTGCTAAACTAGAAAAAATCTTGTGCACCTCAAAATGTTGTTGAGCAGAATAATTTCATCCAAATGTCATGTTCAAACTACAACCAAATCTCCCCACACTTAAGGATGACATCGCCCTCGAGGTCAAAGAAAAGATTTAAAACAAAAAAAAAACAGGGGCAAGTTAAAGAATAAAATGATTTTCAGCCCGGCAGCACATCATAATCAGAATAAGAATCGACACAAATCACACAAGAGGAGTAATATGAGAGTAAGCACACATTATTAGTAGTGTAGTAAAAGTTGGCAGAATACCGTACAGGACAAGCGGCGGTGAATACCCTCCGAAATAACTTCAAATCTCTGCATCAAATAGCTCCTCGATTGCTTGTGATGGGAAGTCTAGGTAGTATGCCTAGAACCATGATCATCGGGCTGAAATGGCTCTCTTCTGGATGCATAAATGCTGGAAAGTCCCGCACAAGCCTGCCAAGTGATGCTACTCGCAATCTCTCAACTACTGAGTGAATTTGGATCATTGCCCAGTAGACTGCTTGCTCGCATTCTGGCTGCATGTCTGCTGTGTAGAATGACATTCCCAGAATATACTCTTCAAAGCTTGCTGGTAGTCCAAAAGTGAGCTGCTGGGGCTACTCTGTCTGCACCTACTCCGGTCACCGAACTCAATAAGTGTATTGCAATTACTTCCCTTCAACTGAACCTGATAAGAGTGTGTGGCATCCAACTGGTTCCTCCCTCATGTACTGTGATGTATGCTGACAGAAAAAGGTCAAGGACCAGCTGTTCTGGCCTCAAAAGTCGGCACCTCACACCGTCCAGAGTCCACCAGAATCTGCCCAGAAATGTTCCTCGCTGCTGCCAAGTTTCTGTCCAGAGACCTTGTTCCTCCAGCACGCGTATCTCTCAAACCGTTGTCCCTGCGAGTGTCTGAAGTTGAATCTCAGTTCAAATATCACTCTCTCACCTGCTGTGAAGTAAATTACAACGTGTAGCTCTGAGTAACCCCATTTACATAGGGCTGCAATTCTTCCAAAATCAGATCATAAACTCCCATGCCACACCTGCAATTCAAGGCAAAGAAATCCAACCGCACAACTCCGAGATGAAAACAAAAAACAATGAAAAAAAGTGCATAAATAAAAAAAAAACTCCTAATTCTATTTTTTTTTTGTTTTTTATGATGGGTTGCCTCCCAAAAGCGCTTCTTTAACGTCACTAGCTTGACGATAAGATCTCAGTCAAAAACGGGCTCAAGGCTTAAAACCTCCTTCTGCTTTTCAAAGATTCCCCCAAAATAGTGCTTGAGTTGGTTGCCGTTGACTTTGACAACCCGACCGTCATTATGCTCAATTTCCACACTTCCGTAAGGGTACACTCGACGTACAGTGTATGGTCCCGTCCATCGGGACTTCAGCTTCCCGGGAAAAAGTCTCAACCTGGAATTAAACAATAGCACCTTCTCTCCTTCCACAAACTGGCGGTCCGCCTTAATGTGCTTGTCATGAGCCTGTTTCACTCTCTCTTTATATAAATATGAATTATGAAAGGCCTGAGCCCTCCACTCATCCAATTCATTCAGCTGAAAGAATCGCTCTTTACCTGCACTAGATGAATCAAGACAAACAGTATTTAAAGCCCAAAGTGCCCTATGCTCTACCTCCACGGGTAAATGACAAGATTTCCCATAAACTAATCGGAAAGGAGTAGTACCAATCGGGGTCTTATAAGTTGTCCTAAAAGCCCATAGCGCATCATCTAATTTTTCTGACCAATCCTTACGAGTTTGCGCTACAGTTTTTTCTAGGATAGCCTTAAGATCCCGATTCGCATTCTCTACTTGCCCCTGAGTTTGGGGATGGTAGGCTACTCCTTGCCGATGTTGAACCCCATATTTAGACAGAACACGAGCTAGCGGATCATTACGAAAATGGGTTCCTCGGTCACTAATCAAAACTTTTGGGACTCCAAACCTGGAAAACAATTTTTTCACAAACCGCACAACAACTCTAGCATCATTGGTAGGGCTAGCAATAGCCTCTACCCACTTTGACACATAATCAATAGCGACTAAAATAAATTTATTGCCTCTTGAGCTAGGAAACGGGCCTACAAAATCAATCCCCCAGACATCAAAAACTTCACAAGGCAATAGATATGTCTGGGGCATCTCATCTCGTTTAGAAATATTTCCTACCCGTTGACACCTATCACATGAAGCAACATAAGAATTCGCATCCTTGAACAACGTGGGCCAATAATACCCACACTCTAGCACTCTTCTTGCTGTCCTATTACCAGAAAAATGCCCCCCAGCAGGGCCAGCATGACAATGGTACAAAATCTCACTCATTTCACTCTCAGGAATACATCTTCTTACTACCTGGTCAGCGCAAATCCTGAACAAATAAGGGTCATCCCAGAAATAATACTTAGCATCAGACAAAAACTTTTTTAACATGTGCCGAGATAGCCCGGTAGGCTCAACATTGCCTACTAAATAGTTGGCTATGTCTGCATACCAGGGCACCTCAGAAGCAATCTCAACCTGCAAAAGACGTTCATCAGGAAAAAGTTCTTCGATAACATCATTACTAAAAGAGTCTACCAAATCAGCATCTAATCGTGATAAATGATCAGCTGCCTGATTGGCGGAACCCTTCCGGTCCCTAATCTCTATGTGAAATTCCTGCAACAACAAAATCCAACGGAGAAGTCTAGGTTTAGAGTCGTGCTTCTGAAATAAATATCTCAACGCCGAATGATCGGTGTAGATAATTACTTCAGACAAAATAATATACGACCTAAACTTCTCCAAAGCATACACAATAGCCAGAAGCTCCTTCTCTGTAGTGGTATAATTCAATTGGGGTCCCGCTAAGGTTTTGCTAGCGTAATAGATGGGGCGGAAGTGATTATCCTTCCGTTGGCCAAGAATGGCCCCGACCACCTGATCGCTAGCATCACACATCAGCTCAAAGGGGATTTCCCAATCTGGAGCAACTAAAACTGGAGCTTCCATCAACTTAAGTTTCAGACAATTAAAAGCAAGCAAACATTCATCATCAAACAAAAAATCAGCATCTTTCTCAAGCAAACGGGTGAGAGGTTTGGCTATTTTTGAGAAATCCCGAATAAAACGACGGTAGAAGCCAGCGTGGCCGAGAAAGCTACGGACAGCCTTCACGTTCTTTGGAGGCGGGAGTTTCTCAATAGCCTCAATTTTCGCTTTGTCAACCTCAATCCCCTTAGATGACACCTTATGACCTAGCACAATACCCTCCTTGACCATGAAGTGACACTTTTCCCAACTTAAGGCCAAGTGGGTCTCCTCACACCTAATCAACACTTTCTCCAGGTTATGGAGGCATTCATCAAATGACTCTCCAAAGATAGAGAAGTCATCCATAAAAACCTCCATAAAATCACCAATAAACTTCTCAAAAATAGCAATCATACAACGCATAAATGTGGCAGGGGCATTGCATAGACCAAAAGACATCCTACGAAATGCAAATGTCCCAAATGGGCAAGTAAAAGTGGTCTTTTCCTGATCAACGGGATCAACGTGTATTTGAAAGTACCCGCTCATCCCGTCAAGGAAACAATAATAAGCATGCCCCGCCAAACTCTCAATCAACTGGTCAATAAAAGGTAAGGGAAAGTGATCCTTCCGGGTGGCCTCATTCAGTTTACGATAATCAATGACCATCCGCCACCCGGTCACAGTCCTACTAGGTAGGAGTTCCCCCTTCTCATTCTGAACAACTGTCATACCCCCTTTCTTGGGGACCACATGAGTAGGGCTAACCCATTGGCTATCTGAAATTGGGTAGATTATACCCACATCCAGAAGCCTCAGGACTTCAGCCTTTACAACATCCATCATCTTGGGGTTTAAGCGTCGTTGCGGTTGCACGACTGGTTTATACCCCTCCTCACACTTAATTTTGTGGGTACAGAAGGTTGGGCTAATCCCACGAAGATCCTCAAGCTTACGGGCAATGACTTGCTCGTGGCGCCTAAGGACATCCAACAATTTTTCCTTCTGTCCCGACTCTAACTGGGCTGAAATAATAACAGGTCGTTGGCCCTCTGTGTCCAAAAATGCATACTCCAGGTGACTAGGGAGTGGTTTGAGTTCAGGAGTAACCTTATCAGCGGGCTGCTCCTTAAACTCAGTAAGCAACCCAGGGAAAACATCATCCCTAATCACCTACTCGCAATCAACAGTCATGTCTTCTTCATTTTCAGCCACTATATCCCCCACATAATGAGTCTCACTAACGGGTGGGATAATATCACTATCGCCTCCAAACAAATACCCCTCCACTGACTCAAACATATCAAGATAATTGCATGATTCAGTGGGGTCTGAGGCCTTACTCATCACATCTGAGAGTTTAAAGGTGCACACATCGTCCCCAACTCTCAGAGAAAGTGTACCATCAGCAACATCAACAAGGGCCCTAGCAGTAGCCAGAAAGGGCCTCCCTAAAATAAGTGGAGTCTCACGATCTTCCTCCATGTCCATGACCACAAAATCGACAGGAAATATGAACTTGTCCACTCGTACTAATACATCCTCTAGAATTCCTTTCGGGTATTTCACCGATCGGTCCGCTAGTTGGAGGCTCATACGAGTGGGCTTAAGTTCACCCAAGCCAAGTTTCATGACCACAGAGGAAGGCATCAGGTTGATGCTAGCTCCTAAATCAGCTAAAGCATTATTAAACATACAATTTTCGATAGAACAAGGTACAAGAAAACTCCCTGGATCTTTTCGTTTTGGTGGCATGGTCCTCAGAACGACCGCTGAACATTCTGCATTGAGATCCACCACTTCTGGCTCTTCCCACCTCCTCTTTTTCGTGAGGAGGTCCTTCAGAAACTTCGCGTACCTCGGCATCTCTGTCAATGCTTCCATGAATGGCATATTGATATGGAGCTGTTTTAGATGCTCCATAAATCTGATCAAGTTCGTGTTATCATTTCTCTTCTTCACCCGTGTAGGGAACGGGAGTGGTGGAGTCTTCTTACTCTCCTTTTTCTTCTGAGCTTCTTCATTCTGGACTTCTTCACTCTTGGCTGGAATAGGGGCAGCCACTGGTTCTTCTTCAACCTCCTGGGAATCTGGGCCTTGAAGCTGCTGGTCATCATCTTGTTGAGGCATTGGCGGAGTAGAAACTTCTGGAAGTGTTCTCCCGCTTCGTAGCGTAACAGCTTGCACATGCTCCCTTGGGTTAGGTTCTGTTGAACTCGGAAGGCTGCCCGGTTCTCTTGAAACACTTGAGCCAAGCTGGCGGATAAGAGCTTCAAGGTTGCTAAAACGCTGGTGCATCTCCGCTTGGTTTTTGGCTAATTCAGCCACTGTTTTCTCTAGCGCTGCATTTACAGGAGGCTGCTCAAGCTGTCTTTGATGAGGCGGGATATAAGCGGGCTGGTTTGGATGGCCTCTAATCTGGAAATTTCCTTGAAAATTAGGGGCATTCCGCTGCCCTTGGTTCTGATTTTCGGGCCTCCATAAACCTCCTGCTTGCTGAAAGTTTCCTCTCTGACCTTGATTGTTGAAAAATTGTCCACCTCCTCTCTGGCCTTGACCATATTCCATGAAATTGACATTCTGGACCACTGGTGATGCCTGATTCTGAACATAAAGAAGACATGTGTGAGTGAGGTGAGCTCCCATGCACATCTCGCAAGATAAAGCGAGTTCTTGGCCGGTTGGGCTTGGATAGCTTGCTCGAACAGGAAGTGGGGCAGAATACATAGGTTAAGAGGGCTGATATGCCCCAATATTATGAACTTGCTGCTGAGAGGTCTGTGCCTTCAAGTCTTTCACGTCCACTGCCAGTCCTTCTATCTTCGCGGTGAGTGCAGTGATGGGGTCCAGATTAAGCAAACCGGGTGGATTTTGAACTCTCTCTTTGCCCGCATACCAATACTTGTCATTTGAAGCCAAGTTCTCAATTATCTGCTCTTCTGCCTGTGGGGATAATTTTAGAAACATACCCCCTTGAGCTGCCCGGTCTAGTTCTCTCATATACTCCAACCGAAGCCCATTATAAAATCTGCACATAATGGTTGCAGCATTCATGAATGTTTCCGGGCACTTCCTTTTCAGCGTCTTCAGTCTATCCCATGCTTCACTGAAAGATTCGGTCGGAGCTTGAGTGAAATTAAGGATTTCTGTCTGAACTTTGATAGCGGCAGAGGGAGGAAAATACTCCTGCATAAATGCCTGATGAAGCTTCTCCCATGTATCAAAGTGCCCGTTTGGAAAGCTACGGAGCCACCGTGAAGCTTTGTCTTTCAACGAGAATGGAAATAAAGTCAACCTGACTGCTTCGCTGGACACCCCATTGTATTTGAATGTAGCACAAGTCTGAATAAAGCTCTCAATATGCTCCATTGGATCTTCATGAGTGTATCCACAAAATGGATTATTTGCAAGCATCTGAATCATGGCTGGCTTGATTTCAAAATTGTTGGCCTCAATGGTGGGTGCACCAATGCTATTTCTCGCCACATAGTTAGGCGTCAACGTCTCCAGAGTTGTCTGATCGGCCATTTTCTCCAAGTCTCTAGCAAACGCCTTTTAGCTCTTCCTCGGAATAAGTGTTCAGGATTAGAATAACCTGCAATTAGATATTGTTCCCCCGAGGAGCGAGTGCGCATACACTTGTTCCTGCAGCTTAGTTCACGTGCAAAGAACACAAAAAACGACACACAAATAACAGGAAAAAAATAGAAAGTCTCACCGACTTGCTTTTACCTATTCCACATAAAAGTACTTAACAAACAACCGTGCCACTCCCCGGCAACGGCGCCATTTGATCGGTGTAATTTTTTAGTGAGTGAAACGTAGTTGGTTTATCCGTAGAATAACCTGACCACGAGTATCGTCTCTCAAGGAGTGGCAAAAAGGAAGTTTTAAATACAGTCCGTGATCACAGGCTAGCACAAGTCATGGTAATCTTTCCAAAATAATTTTTTTTTTGAGTGGTTTGAAAATAAAACTAATTAATAACGAGTGCAAAAAAATAAATAGAGTAAAAAAAAAAAATTAAACTGATTCTAGATATTAAAACAGGGTTCGAATTGGATGGTTCGGGTTCTGGGTGTTCTTTCGGGATTAGAATTAAGTTAATTAATTTTCAATTATTCCTGGAAAGAAAATGAAATAAATTCTCATAGACAAGAATTAAATCAAATTATCACAATCTTAACTTATTTCTAAGATCAGATTGCTTGTATAAGATTCGAGCTAATTTAACTCAATTTCTCATAGACAAGAACTGAATTAAATCCAGACATTCATATATGAGGTGATCAAATTCATATAGACAATTATGATTAATCTTATACAAATTTTCCAGAAGATTAATTGAATTTTAAAGAACTAAATTCACACCCTCAAGAACCCATGAACCCTAGCCCCAATTCAAACCCTAAATGGAATTAGCTACTCATAACTAAATTTAACATCACAAAAATATTACTGAGCATAATAAACATGATAAGAAGCTAGAAATAAAGAGTGAATTATGAGTATTTGATGGGAAATTCTGAAATTGCTAATTGGAAACAAAGAAATTCGAAATTCAGTCAAAATTGAAGAACTAATGCTGTAAATAACTAAACTTACAATACTTGAAATGAAAGCAAAGCAAAGTTCCTTGGTTATGGATTACTGCTGCGGCTAATTGCTACTAAATGAATCAGAAAATAAAAAGTGCGGCTGCTTGGTCTTCTGGTTACTACTGCCGGCTGCGGCTAATTGACGGATAGCAGGACTTGTCTACGAACAGAAAGAACGATGAAAAAAACTGCTGGTGCGGCTGACTGACTACGAACTGAGAATGGAAAAGCTATGCTACTGCGGCTAAGTGACGAACATGAAGAATGAATGGAATGGAAGTTGCTCCTGCGGCTGAGGTTTTCAGGGAGAAAACCCAGCTCATCTCTTTTCCTTTTTGGGCTGCTAGTCGGTGCTGCAGTTTTTTTTTCCTTTTTGGGCTTCACTTAATAACTTCTAAAGTAACCCGCAAATGATCTGGTCCAAACATATTCACCGCAAACTCGGCCTGTAAAATCACAACTCACTGCACCCGCTAATAATATGCAATTTTACAATCAAATTACTCCAAAATATGTCAAATTGTGTAGAAAAATACTGCACTGAATATGAATGCCACCGGGACCGAAAAATAACAAATTTTCATTCAAAACCCCCAATAGTCACCCGATTAAAATAAAAATTAGACAATTAACACCCAAAATATGAGTGAAAAGATAGGAACGGAACGAGCCTATCAGATAATGATAATGATAATAATGATGATCATGATGATCATGATGATCATGATGATCATGATGATGATGATGATGATGATGATGATGATGATGATGATGATGATGATGATGATGATGATGATGATGATGATGATGATGATGATGATGATGATGATGATGATGATGATGATGATGATGATGATGATGATGATGATGATGATGATGATGATGATGATGATGATGATGATGATGATGATGATGATGATGATGATGATGATGATGATGATGATGATGATGATGATGATGATGATGATGATGATGATGATAATAGTCTTCTTAATAATTACATTTATATTACTATTATTATATTAAAATATTATAACTATTATTAATATCTTATTTTTTTTATCATATTATTATTAATATTATTAATAATAATTATATAATAATAATAATCATAATTGTAATAACAATATTAATAATAATAATTAATATAATAATAAAAGTGATAAATCATGTTTGAACTTTTCTGATCTGATCTGATCTGAATGTTTCTGATCTGATCTGAATGTTTCTGATCTGGTCTGATCTGATCTGAATCTTTCTGATCTGATCTGAATCTTTCTGATCTGATCTGATCTGATCTGAATCTTTCTGATCTGATCTGATCTGATCTGAATCTTTCTGATCTGATCTGATCTGAATTTTTCTGATCTGATCTGATCTGATCTGAATAAAATAAGAATAAGCAATAAGTAATAAGAATAAGACGAACAGAACAGCACCTACATTATACTAATTAAAATGTAAAACTTCTATAATTTAGAAAATACAACCAATTGACGGGATTTGAAACTTCTTTTGGGATAAAATCCATGGATTAGAGCGCTTCCGCCAGAAACTCCAAATATAATGGAAATCCTATCAATCCAAGAAGGATGGCATCAAAATTTTCAGTTGATAATTCTCAAATTAAAGGATTAGCAACCTGGCATAAGAGACAAAAATGGTTAAGCATCAAGAAAGAGACATTAATCAAACTGAAAAGTTAGACATTATATTAATCTGCCAACGTCACACATGTAACTATATAGCAAATGGGGAAAAACAAATAAAGAATCACCAGTCAAGAAGACTTCTTTCAGATTCACCTTCAGATGGATGTCAGAATATTATGGTGCTAATCAATATCCTAGGCAGCCTGAAACAAAGATAAACTTCAAAACCGATCACTTGGCATGTACAAATGAAAGTTTTGAAATATATTAAAAGACAACTAAACTAAATAATTATTAAGCCGTCATCTCTATTCACACACACAATAACCAGAATGAGAGAACCTTTGGGCCCTTTGGGAACGAATCAATTAATATTACTCCATTCCGAATTGAAGATACCGCCTACATAGCTCAAATAATAAACCCAAGTGTGGTTAGGGGAAATTTATTAAGCAATTAATTTGTTGGCACTATAAGGAATAAATTTTTCTTGGCAATAATACCACAAATAGAACCTGAGTATTAATCTCTTTTTATCCAATTCTTAAATTTGTTAGGATATTATTGGGTGTTAGTTGCTCACAGCAATGGTCTTTCTGAAGTTTTTTGGATCACTTGGATCTTCAAAAGGATAAGCACCAATCAGCATTCAGCATCACATATAGAGTGACCCTACGAGACCAAATATCTGCAAGCTTAAGTAGTTTTCACTTTTCAATGATACAATACTTGATTAAAACGTCATTAATTAAAGTGCAACATACAATTCCAATGACAACACAAGAGGGAAAAGATGAGATATGGTATAAGCACCTTCCCATCATACTCTTCTCTTGTCAGCACCTCAGGCACAACATATGCAGGTGTTCCCACAGTTGATTTTGGTTGAGAATGAAACACTTCTGACTGCAAAAGGTTTTATATCATCATTTGCTTTGATTGTATGATGACAAGAATGTGACCCTCTAATGTTAAAACAACAGCTGCAATTGTTGCACTTGATGTTCCATTAAAAAGGATAAACAAAATCTCTTTTATCTCTTATTTCACATTTAGTCAATGTAAGACAGCATTTTTAACAACAAAAACAATAAGGATAATAAAGAAGATTGACCTTAGAGTAGCCAAAATCACAAATTTTGGCAGGCGGGGAAGTACTTCCATCTAGTAATGTGTTTTCCAATTTGAGATCACTATGACAGATTTGCTGAAAGCCAAAACAATAACCATGGACTATCAAGATCCACAAACAAGATGGATAATATGATATTACTACATAGATATTGACAACATTATTACTATTACCATTGAATGGCAGTAGGAGATGCCAGATATGAGTTGTTGAAAGAAGAACCTTGCCTGACCCCAAACAAGACAAAAGACCCATCCAGTGATCATTTACTCACTCAAGTATGGTGGCAATCCCACTTTTGAACAACTAGATTATATTAAATGAGAAGCAATTGTCTAAATGTATATCACTCTATATATGATTACTGATATAGTATTGGAATAGAAGTACATATAACTATATAAGTATAACAAGCATATAAGTACATAAGTACATGTAATTCTACGATTAGAACTGGCGAAACATATTTGACTACCAGTACGGAAATAGAAACTTTAGTAAATGCAAGAAGCGTTCCCACACTAACCTACATAAAGAGTAACAATTTTCATTTATTCTTAAATGATTTGAACCTGCTTTTAATGGAAGCCTTGATAATTGAGGTTTTCAGCTATATCACTTGCCATCCCTGTCAATTGTACGTGAAACGTCCATAATGAAGGCCAGGACTGCAATGGAAATCCCAGTTGCTAAGGTACTCTTAAGAGGAACTTGAGTTTGCCTACTAATGTCTGAAATGTGCATAACGCAATAACCAAGTTATAGTATGTTTTGTAATAATAATAATCAAAGTAAACCACAAACTTAGTATACCAATTTTACAGAGTTCAAGCTAGAAGATGATTTCATAGTCTTGCTCCTGGTCCTGCAATAAAATAAGAAAAAAACCTTCACAAATAAGTATCTATCTCCCAACAAAATGAACCAAATGTTCATGGGGCGTTTGTTGGGATTGGAAAATTCTTCTATTCAATATCAATAACAGAATTACAATAGGAGGAGCAAACTCTCACACTCAACTATTACAAAAAACCAATCCTCACCAATACACTTCTACTCTAAGTGTATTTCACTCTTCACACACTTTTCTCACTTTCTAAACTGATGATATGAACAACAATAGAACACTCTATTTATAGGCTAGGTTGGAGACAAGAGGAAGTTGCATCCAAGCTTCCTAGTTATCTGCATATCTCCTTCCATGTTCATGTGTTTGATAGCTCCTTCCTAGAAGGTGTTATATGTCTATTGGCAACTTCCAAGAAAGAAGGTGGAAACTCCCTACAAATCTCCCCCTCCACCTTTTTCTTTATTTCTCTCGTTCCTGCGATGCTCGCAGGCTCCCCCTCGCTAGCAACAAGTATCCATTCGGATGTGGAATACTTTCTCTGTGGAACTATGCCTCGCATAGAACGACGAGCATGAGTACCTTCAGCTTCGTCTTCAGATGAAGGCTCCCCCTGCTGAGGAATATCATCACTGTGAGTATCATCATCACCTACTGAACCATCACTCTCTCGTTCAGTAGAATCATGCATCTCCTCATTGCTGAGAGGAATGTTTGATGATACAGGCACTTCATCTTCTGGAGTATGTTGTTGGCGGATTATTGGAGCACACCCATGAAACTCGTTTTCATGAAATACAACATCTCTGCTTCGTACAACTTTCTTTACTTCGGGATCCCACAACCGGTATCCAAATTCTTCATCACCATAGCCGATGAAGATACATGGGTTTGACTTGAGATCAAGCTTCTGTCTAAACTCCTTGGACACATGTGCAAATGCCTTGCACCCGAACACTTTCAAGTGAGAGTAAGAAACATCTCTTCTTGACCATTTCTTCTCTGGCACTTCAAAGTTTAAAGGAACAGAAGGTGACCTGTTTATAAGATAACAAGCTGTCAGCACAGCTTCACCCCAGAATGGCTTAGGTAGTTTAGCCATACTCAGCATGCAACGAACTTTCTCCATAATGGTCCGATTCATTCTTTCAGCTACACCATTGTGTTGTGGAGTTCGTGGAACCGTCTTCTCATGTCTGATTCCGTATGCAGCGCAATATGCTGAGAACTCTCGAGAAGTGTACTCTCCTCCATTGTCTGAACGCAGGCACTTCAGCTTCTTCCTTGTTTCTTTTTCTACCATGGCATGAAATAATTTGAAGCGATCAAACACTTGATCCTTACTCTTCAAACAATAAGCCCATACCTTTCGTGATGCATCATCAATGAATGTCACGAAATATCTGCTTCCTCCAAGTGACTCCTCTTCAATGGGTCCGCATACATCAGAGTGTACAAGACTGAGTAACTCTGAATGTTTCTTCCTGGTAGAACTGAAGGAAACTCTGTGTTGTTTCCCGAATAGACAATGCTCACATGGATATAGGGCAACACCTTTGCCCATGGAAATGACTTCCTTCTTTGCAAAAGTTGTCAATTCCTTCACGCTCAAGTGGCCTAGCCTCCGGTGCCACAAGTTTGGTGATATCTCTTCTTCAACAACATTGAGACTCGGATGACACAACTTTGCATGAGTCTTATACAGAGTACCACAAATATGGCCTCTTGCAATAACCAAGGAACCTTTAGATAACTTCCACATACCTTCTTTGAATCGGTTAAGATATCCTTGTTGATCCAGAGCTGTACCGGAGATGAGATTTAATCTAAGATCCGGAACGTGTCGAACATCTTTCAACACAAGTGCACATCCGACATTGGTTGCTATGTGCACATCACCAATGCCAACAATCTTCGAGAAACTGGTGTTTCCCATCTTCACAGCTCCAAAGTCTCCGTATTTATAAGATGTGAATAAGTTCTGGTGTGGAGTGGCGTGAAATGATGCGGCTGTATCAATCACCCACTCAACATCATGAGTACCTACGTGTAAACATTCTTGTTCACCATGTGTAACAAGACACGCATCTGATGACAAACTAACCATAGTCACACCATCTTCTTGACTAGTATTTTGACTCGTCTGTGGCTG